TTAGCCAATCCATGGATCAGATGTGTTTAGAAATCTATTTACATTATATGATAGTCAGAAAGTTCAGATTAACTGCACTGCCCAGAAGAGAAAATCTATTACTTTTTGCAACATTTTCTTTAAAAAGGATGATACAGTATTTTCACGTTATATATTGACTGCAAGACAAGCATACTCAAAATGGATGGATTAGAGATTAAATTGAAATAATTTGTATACTAAATGTATGAAATGACTGCAATTATTTTGTTAACTGTGCACAACTAATTGAAGAAAAATGAACAATGATTATGTGAACATGAGATATTATAAAGCCTATGCAACTGATATTTTCTGTCAAGGAACACTAACTTCAATTTATTGCAAACAAAGTAAGGCATTTCCTGCAGGTCTCAGCACATTACTTATTGGCTGGACTCTTCATTTTAAGATAAAATTAGACAAAATTAAGATTGCTGATGAGCACATTTCATAAATGATGCTAGTGCCATTATGATCTCTACCATAGTGGAGATTGGGGACAAACTTTCTTCATGAGGCTAACACACGCTGAATATATTTTAGAAAGTTATTAGTGCATTCAATGATAAAATACTCTTAAAAAGGTGAATGCACAACGTTAATAGGAAAAACAATGGTCTTTGAATTAGCAAGGGAATTTTTAGATCATTAATCTTAATTGCAGCTGACATTGCAGAATATGACCAAATAGATTTTTCTTTTAATTAACCCTCTTCACCCTTGAAATACATGCTCTTTATCCAAGCATTTTTCATAGTCATACTAATAATGTACCGGACTCCAATTTTAAATGTTGCAGACTTTAGGTCTCATTCTTACCTAGCTTTACTGAATTTATTAATATTTTGCTAAAAGATTATATTTCCCTGTTTAGAGTTCAACACCAAGAGGCTTTTCTATACTAAAATAATCTTTTGAGTGGATGAAAACATTATCTGTGATATTTCTAAAATGAAAATCAAGATTGGGGAATTATTTAGGCATTGTGCATAATCAAGCTCATAATGTTTGATTAGTACAAGAGTAAAGTGCAATAATATAGAAGAACATGGTGTAAAGTTAATTTGTGTTTCAGGCACAATTTCTTCAAATCAGCTCTGAAAGGCATTGTCAGAAGCATGTTTTCTTTGGATATTTGGTCAAAATAGAAAATAGGTTTGGGAATTGCAAAAAGCATTTGCAATAAGATGTTCAAAAATAAATTACACAGTACTTACATTGATAAAGGAGCATAGCTGTGAGTTTTATAATCTGAAGGATAATTACAATATGAGATTACACTGATTTATGTTTAGTTTGCCTTAGCTGTAGCTCTAAGTAAAATAATCAATTACATAAATAAAATTGCTACAAACCATCAGTATAAGTTACTGTAATTATCACTGTGAAACAGCACTTTATCAGTCTGAATCAAACAATTTATGTTACTTATTGCAATAAAATATCAATCCTCTTACTATAGTACATTTATTGTGGTGTTCATACCTGTATATGAGTATATCCAAATTTTCTTTACCAGTCACAAGAGTTACAACACTCTGGGAAACACATATCTACTGTAGTTTATTGGTTTATTCAAAGAGCTATACACCCTCACAAATATGAAATAAAAAGTCTATATTATAGTTATAATTGGTGAAATTTAGCTAGAAATTGAGATCACTGTACAGAATACCACTGCTATGAATTACACAGCAATCATTTCTTAGGACAGTACAAATCAGAGAGGCAGGCATTTCTTTTTTAAATGAGATTTAAAATTGGACTTGTGACTTTGTTTTTTGAAATGTCTATAAAACATTTTTTCCACTGACAGATAAAATTGCTTAAAATAAATGAATAAGAAGATGAATAGTACATTGTTGATCATCCATAACTGGACAATGTTCCGTAGAGTAATAAAGTGTGACACTAAGACAACAATAGGGAATCTTAAGAGTTGTTGTGGGTTCAATTTCAAAGGTGGAACACAATCTAGAGTTTGAATTACAAACCATTAGCTATTTCATATGCTATATTATTTTTAAGCAAAAAAAAAGAGCTATAGTTACTTTTATAATTATTACACAGAATATAAACCAAATAGTGGACCACAGCATGATGGTACTGCTTTTGTTGCATTTTCAGTTGTGCAGCAGATTTCAAAATGAAAGTGATATTAGGATTCTTTTGGGAGAGTGCTAGGGTCTGTGAAACTCTGCATTGTATTTTCAGATTCAGCCATCCATAACAACACCAGGCACAGATGGAAACCTTAACTTCAATATGATGCACTGATGCAACCTACAGTATACACTGATATGTATAAATTGCAATGTGCATAGTTTGACTCTCAATGTAATCAGCTCTGCTGGCTTCAGGTGTATTAATGGAACACAGCCTTGTTATGGATGGTCACTCATCCACTATGCATTTTTAATGCTATGTACACATACAGGTAGCAATGCCTAATAATTCACAAAAATAACAACAACCTGTTTAAGAAGAATAACATTGTATATAAACAATGTAGAATAGGCATGAATTGGCACACAGCCAAATGCAAAAAAAAAAGAAAAGAGTTCAGTGAAGATGATGCCCTCAATACAAAGATAATATACAGCAGACCTATTCATTGTAAGAATAACATATTTCAGAATTAATGATTTGAAGTTAAACCATCTAAGAACAAAACTAGATATTTTAGTAGGTTATTCTGTGAGAAATTTGGTTCCGTTTTACTGAATGGTATATTCATGCCGAAAAAGAAATATTACTTGTACATCATAGCTTGTTTGCCTCCACATTTCATTTTGCTGATGCACTAACCACATTTATAAACTGAACCTTTAACAAACTGCAAATGTTTCCCCAAATGTTTTGGAACACATTAGAATATTCTGTGAGGAAGGAAGCACTGCACATAACTAGCAGCCTCTCAGCATTCATTGTACATAAATTCATTGTAAAAGGAGATGGAAATGGAACATGTTTTCTCCTAATTCACAGGACATTTTACAAAGACACATTTGGGTATTTGCAAGCTATTGTACTTTAAAACAAGGAACACAGTGCACAAGAAAAAAGGGTGATTAAAAAAGGAAACTGAGACAATAAACACACATGCAAATGTCAGTCATAATATCTTTAAATACATTGTTACTGGGGCTGAGTACATACAGTACTTTCTGATATGTTCGGCGCTGCTGTTTGGACACTAAGAGTATAGTACAGCATTTTGCTGTTCAAACCAATCAATCAATTAATAACTGGGCACATCCATTTGATTATATTTAATTGATTAAATAAAATAAGTATATTATATCCTTTACTGGATCTTTTTTGTGATGGTAGTACAAGTTGTACTTGTAAAGATGTAAAGATGGTTCAAAATATACAATATACAGTAGTATATGCTTTTGGAGAAAAGTGGTCTTCTATCAAATTTGCAAAAACAATCCAGAATCTTTAAATGGTTTGAAATTGCATTCTCTGGGAGGTTTAAACAAATGCCATTATAAAAACAAAACGATATCTATCTTCATTCCATACAATTGAAATAAAATAAAAACTGAAACAGGACAAATTGAACATTAGATTTAAGGGGAAAAATAATTTTAGAATAAACATTGAAAAGTCTTAAACTGTCATTGTAAGATCTTTTGAAAATAAATTATTTTCAAACTATAATAATCTCTGAATTGAATGAACTGAATTTAACCTATTCTTGGATTAAATTGATTGAATTAAGCTTAGCATTACAGTGTATATTGGTAAATTACTCCTTTATTGCTAAGGATATTTAAAGTTATTGATAATCATATTTGAAGACAATGGAAACATTTTCCTGGAAGAACGTTCTTACTGACATCAGGAAAGGGAAGGAGGGAATCAGTATGCTTTTGTTAATGTTTACACTCAGTGTTCTATAATTAGATTCTAATAAGTGTGGAACCATCAGAAGGGATGGAAAATGCACTTGAAATATTTTAGCAGGTTTTTTTCAAATATTTAAATATTCTGTGGAAATAATAACACAACACTAACTTAGCACAGCTTGTAGCAATGAGCTTTAAATTAAAAAAAAATCTAATATATTAACAGAATGTGAACATTTTGAATAAAAATGATCAGCAATTGTCTACTTTTGGGTTTGTCCTATATATTGCTTTTTCATTTACATTTTACATAATTGATGAATTCCTAAGGTTTCAAGTAAGTTTATATACATTCATTTTACGATCACTTTATTGGCCATATACAATTTCTTGTATTAGGAATTTGTCTTTTCGCATACCCCAACTTGCCCTCCACACAGACAGGGAGAGAAGCTTGAGGTCAGAGCGCAGGGTCAGCCATTTATACGGTGCCCCTGGAGCAGCTGGGGTTAAGGGCCTTGCTCAGGGGCCCAACAGAGTAGGATTCCTCTGCCAGCTGTGGGATTTGAACCAGCAACCTCCCAGCCACAGGCACAGATCCTTAGCCACAGAGCCACCACACTGCCCAAAATGCAATTTGTTTTCTCTTTCTTTGTGTGCTTTGTTGGTATTTTTAGCCATTATTATTATTATAATTATTATTATTAATCATTAGTGTGTGGACAACCTGATGAAAAAGAACGTCAAGTGGACACAACTGTTAAATCTGGATTCAACCATGTGTATTCAATACCTGACAATGTCATTTATGGAAGCGCCGTTTTCAGTTTTATATCCTGAAATTTATAAAGAGAGATGACTACATAATTCAGTGCCAGAGAAAGAGGAGATTAATATATCCAAACTACAAAACTGAGAACTTCATATTGAAATGTTACAAATATGAAGGTTTATTTTTATATGTGACTTTAGTCCATAATGCAAGTTGTCTTTCACCTGTTGGCACAAAAAGCTGAAATTACTGATGCACCCTTCAGGAAATAGCCATTTTGAGAGCAACTACACATAGCTGAATACCACACACGATGAATACCACAGAAAAACGCAAACCCTTATAATTGGTATGTTGTAAATCTTAATCAGTCATTTATTTGCTGGCAAACAAGTTTCACTTTTACAACAAATATTAGTTATGAGGTCATTCAACTCAGAAACCATACAAAATGAATAAATAATAGCCATAATCATAATAAAAAATCTATAACCTGTGCTGCTAAATCTGTTACCACCTGAAATTCAACGTTATTTTTTAAATTTTATATATATATGTTTTATCAAATAAATAAATAACTTTCCTGTTAGGAAAAAAAAAAAACAAAAGATCAGACGGTTTCAGTTTACTCTCTCCAGAAAGCTCATTTTTAATAAGTAAAACATTTCCATCTTTGTACAAGTGCCTAATGCTTATCAGTAGAATGTCTGTTTTCTTCCTGACATGCACAGGCCCTGCCTTTTTAAACGAAGACCTCTTAATGTCATGGAGTACAAGCCCATTGAAAAACTGATTGCTGCTCAATTAATTCTATAGTACTTTTTAAGATAGCTTTCAGCTTAATTTTCGAAATGGTTTGCCATTACTTCCACTGTGGGTGAACATAATTTGATTAAAAAATTCGAGACAGTTAAGAAAATTAAACTAAAAATGGTTCTGAAAACCAAAGTGATTGCTAGAAAATGATCTTCATTAAGTGTTTTGCTCAGTGAATATGCAGTTTATAGGAAAAATGAGAACGAAAGAATAAAACATTTTCGCTCCTACTGGTAGAATAAACCCGCAAGACCAGCACAACAGAAAGAAAATGCTATAATCACTACATTTACAGAGACAAAGGATTTGGAGGAACAGAAAAAGCATACTATTATGTGCAATGCTAGTATCTGTACATTTACATATAAATTTCTTAGAATTCTTTGTCATTAGTTTTTTTTTCTTTTTTCTTAATAACTGGAATTATTACAGCAAAAACATAAAATATGCTCTCTCTCTAGCATACTGTATTATGTTAAAGAGTCCCCTCATGGTTTTGTTCAAAAACATTGTTGTTTCTAACTCACAGGATCTTCACAGCAAAATGCGCTGTAATTCACCAGATAGGAAGAAATTTAAAAAAAGCCAGTATGGATACAGAAGTATACTAAAATAGTTTTTGTTTTAAACACTTAACTAATGGCAGACAGTTTTGGGCCTTGTTTGTAATTCCATTGGGATGTCAAAATGCTAGTAAGCATTACAGATGAGATCCTAAGAATGATGGTTAACCCCTTGAACACCACGAATCCATTCAAGGAACTTTTTTCTTCTTAACTGAGATATGCAGGAATGTCCTCAGCCATCCTATAAGTCTGTTATCCTTTTCAGTTCTCGAATGGCATCAACATTTTAAGAACACAGAGAAAAATGTTTACCACTGCTTACAGTTGATCAGAACAAGAAACCATGGGAAATAACTGTCATCTATAGGCTAGTGACCAAGTGGGAAGGTTCCTGATTTGCTTCGTCAGGAGATGCATCTTCTTTATTGGGAGGAACTATAAATCCATCACTGCTGCCCCGGCCCAGCTGGTAGTAAGTATGTAGTTGATGGACATGGTTTCGTGAGCCCAGGTTCGGCATACTTTTATAATAAACGTCATCCACGTCACTACTTTTACTTGTTGGAGGCTCGCTCTGGGTCTTAGTGCCATTGGCTTCTGTGACAGGCATGCCGGTAAGCACAGGCATGCTGGTGTAAAGGGAATCTCTGTGAGGTGACTGTGTTTCTTCAGTATGCTCGTTGGTTAGCAAAGGGAAAAAACTCTCACTGTTTTCCTGTGGAATTCGTCTCCTGGTAAAGTGGTGGGGTTGGTGGTTTTCAGTGGATTGAGCCCTTTGTGGAAGTAAAGGAGCATTGGACTCTTCTCGGATGAGCTCCAGGCCCAAGCTCTCTTCATGGTTGAAAGAAGATGCATCATCCAAAACAATGGCATCATCTTTGTTGCTGTTGCTGACATTGTTCACCAGCTTGTTCATAAGGTTTCTGTTCTGTTCATTGGAACGCTCATGGTTGTTCAGGTAGGAAGGGATATAGTTGGATGTGAGTTCCTTGAGAATCTTTTTTTCTAGTGCTGTCTCATTGTGGTTGTAGCCACGGTCTATGATTTGAACACAGTCACTCATGTATTCACCACTGGCAATGCTATAGCTGTTGCCGTGGTTACCATTCAGTGGTAGAGTATCCATGACACTTGTATCCCTGGCATTGTTCAGAATTCCCTCTGAAAGACAGGAAACATTGCTATTTTAAATGAAGAACTTTGAATACCAGGACATTTAACAGCAATAACTATATCCTAAACTGTTTGAAAACTCATTTTCTTTTTTACATTTTAAAATATACTCACAGTCTACCTAATGTGTTGTATTTATTAATACTGTACATATATATTCCATTGTTTTGGTTAATGAATGAATAAAGAATTTAAAAACCATAACACTACAACAATCACATGTTCATGCAAAATAGATAAATAATTCATACCTAAAGAAATTTAATGTTTATAAACTTTTAGGGACAAATATTTTAAAACAGCTTGGAGGTTAGGAACGATGTCCATTGTTTTTTGGCACATGTCCTTTATTTCTCATTTGGTTTCATAACACCATCATTACCCACTGGACCATTGTAGCATTTATTAAATTTATTCTAATTGTAAAGCATCTTTCTTTTTAAAGCACGGTGTGATCAATCATCTCCTTTATTCTTCAATGAAAACACTTTAAGAATTCTGACCGACATACATTTAATTAAATTTGTGTGTCTTTGAGATGACATTTTCTTCAAAAAATCTAATGTTAGGGTCCTATACACTATGTGGACAACTCAGATCAAACGGAGAAACTGATTAAGACCATTACATAAATTAGACATAGTTTAATTTATAGCTGGTCTGCAAAATACCTTGAACAGACATTTAGGTTTAGAAGGTGTCAAAATACCAAATGAAAAGTAAATACTAAGATAGCCTTACCTTAGGTTCCTGATCAAAAATATAGTTGACAGATACTGTAATATTATACTTATTGAATGTATTATGAGGACAGGAAATTGTAAACATTTCCTGTTTTTTTTCCCGATTTTATTTGTAAATTGTATATCAGAGGGTGATTCATACTGTCCAAAAATAAATGCCACAGTATTCACATCTACACCAGATGTATAAACTCACAATGAAACACAATAGACAGGACATAAAAATACCACAGCAAAAAAACATTTTCATCACATTTATAAACAAAGAGTAAATGACCATGCTATTGCTTAGTTTCAATGTGAAATATATTTTTGTCTGAATCCAAGGTAGTTTGGCCCTTATTTAACAAAGCTTTTAATTTCATATATAGTTTAAATATCATTTGTGAAAGAAAAATCCCTAGTAAATAAAATTTGAAAAAAAAAACCCAACATATTTTAGTGCTTTTGGTAGCATCGCTAGAACATTTTTCTTTGCAGTGATAAATACGGGCCTTTGTTCACATGGTAATTATTTTATCTTTAAAAACTTTCAGTAGGACTTTCTGTTCTCTCCCATGCAGAGAAAGTGTGGAACCATAATTAGAAACTTCAGATGGAATACTTTCTGTTTACTTTTACATCAATGCAAACTTAAATCCGTTGTTTCCTGTTAAGGAAAAAAGTAAAGTATATTTTATACAAGGTCCTTTTGTTTGTTTTAAAATACAAATACAAATACACAAAAACCTAATCTAAACCAAACAATTAATTTCACATTTTAATGTGATTAGAAATTCAAATGTCCTGAGAATGAAGCAATTCACATTATTCGTAATTAATAACACACTTGTTTATTTTTAACAAATTCAACTTGATTGGCCCAGATGTTAGTTTTTTTTTTTAGATAACAATCAAACACAGGCCACAGATTTATCTTGCATTGAGGTTTGTAATTGCAAAATGTAATACAGCAATCATGATGCTATGCCAATGATATCATGTTAATCGTAGCTTTGGCTGATGAATTTCATAAGCTATATGGATTCAGTGCTACACGTCTCATTAGCTTTATAGAAAAGATTCATATTTTACAATTCAATAACATTGTGCTTTGTAGAGAAATGGTAGAGAAAGGCAGCATTTCAAAAGATTGTAATTATATATAGCAAGACAACAACTTCAATACTCAAATTAGAATTTGGTGTCAGACAATTATTAAATCTGTAATTGAGAAAGAACAATAGTTTAGAAAATGACTCGTTTATTCTCCCCTTTATCAGCATAGAGTGAAAAGAAAGTAAACTGAGGTCAATTACATTTGATATGCAATGTTTAGTTTTACTCCCATACTTGTCTCTCTGTAGGGCTCTAAACGACAGCATGAAGGAAAGGAAAGAAAAACACAAGTAAGCTTACAGTGACAAATAGAGGAAACATGAATAAAAGCAAACTGATGATGTGCAGAACAGAGAAGTGCAAAGGTCATCCCTGCTCCTTGTAATAAGTGTCTAAAAACATACTGTACAATAAGTTAATGCAATATAATTCACACTACAAAATGTACGTTACACTTATCTTTTGAAACTTGTTTTTTATGTAAACTGTGTAAATAGAAAAAGTAATGATCCACTTTAAGTGTTTGGGTGATGCTTTATTTGCTTGAACCTGTCTTCCATGTATGATTATGTCACAATCTACCTAAATGAATAAACCTGCATTGCTCTTGAATGCACACAGTATTGAGTATTTATACCATATTACCACAAGAATTGGGACAAGTCCAGCTATGCCAGTAATGGATTATACCAAAGACCATGTCCACACATGTGTGTCTGCAGGTTTGCCAAAGTAGAAAACTGCCTACATAAGAATTTTGTTGGCAGGGCAGCCATCTGTAATTATACCGCAAGAAATCACTACAGAGGCCCCAAGGTCACTAAAACTGGATTACAGATCAGTGGAGATCCATCCTGAGGAATTCCGAATCCTGCTACACTTTGTATCTGATGGCAGAGTCTTAGTATGGCATCAGCTCAGATAAGTGCTCAGACAGAATGCAGTACATTGTCCTGACATTACAGTGTAGGTTTGGTTCCTGTGACGATGCTAGTGTTTCTCATTATCTGGACTCGGGTTACTGTTCTCACAAAGTGTATCTGTAGTCACTGTGTAAGGTTTAAGCTAGCATGGTGATGGCTTGTTCATCTACCAATGAGATAATGGACCACATTATAAACTAGGGAAGGAAAAAACGGTTAAAGGAGAAGTACAGATCTCAGTATCTACACAAAGTTTACTGAGAAGAACTAATGAGTCAGAAAGAAAACACATATGCCACCATTTTTTCTGCACAAGAAACAGCACTGAGCAAGGAATGACACTGTTGCCACTTCATAATAACACCAAAAGTTTTTTTCTATAACACAAAATACATATATAACTCTTTTCTGAACATCTATCTTTTGTTGTCCCAATGCTTCTAGTAACACAATAATAATAACTTGAATTTATCAGATGGATGCACTTTAAGAATAATAAAAAAGGTTGAGACATTGAAGAGAAAAATGAACAAGGAAATTGATTAATTCAGAAGAAAATAGATCAATTTATTCATCAGGATTAATTCATAAGAATTAATACATTACAGCACTGTTACAGAAACACCCTCCACCAAAGCACCCTCAACCAGACTAAAGAGATGAGAAAGTTACCATACTATTGTAGGTTCTTATCAGATGATCTGAATGTACCATTACAATGGTGAAGTAAATCTATATAAAATGATTAGATTTTTACTCATTTTTAGGGCTACTTTAAGTGATGACTATATGCATTGTGATGCAAAAAGATCACTACTCAAATTATCAGTCAAATTGTATGTACTTCCTGTCATTCATTCAAATCATTGATAATGACCAATTAAGCTCTATTTCAGGCTGGTTCTCACCCATGTGTATACATATTTTTCTGAGAGATGGCTGCAGTTAATTCACAGAAATATATACTGAAATGTAATCTGTTGTGTAGTGTATGTTCTTTTTATAGACAATAGAAAGAGCTTATTTATTCAGGTCAGGTAGATATCACCTAAGAATGTGTTTGTTTTACTGAGATAATTAAATCTTTTAAGCTGAAAATTTATCCAATTGAAGGTCAGGAAATGTGAAAATGTGGACTACTGTTTAATTAACTAATACATAAATTGTTTGAAAAGCATTTTGAAAATAAACATCTTAGAACTTAACTTTATAAAAGTTATCTCCAAATGTATTCATATCCTTGATAAAGTGTTATTAAACGTGATTTAGTAAAGAAAATGCAAGTGCAGATCAAAATTTTCCAACAGTTTTAATTGCTAAAAAGGAGTAACATACATATTAGCATCATATAAAAATAAATAAAAATTATATTAATTGTGAAATATGCAGTGTTTAAATTTATTTATACCCCTGTTAATGTAAAAAAAATGTATGGTATTCCTATGATGCTTTTTGGTCATTCATTCTGCAAATCCTCAGTAAGTTGCCAAGCACTTCTAGAATTCACTTTAAATGTAAAAGGAGTTATCATCCAACCGAAATGAAGTCTATTCCATGTTTATACATAGTTATGGCTTTCGCAGGTATGGAGACGATAATATTTTTTACTGCCCATCATCAAGAAGTTCAAGGTTTACATTCAATCTTGTTTGCATACGATTTTCCTTTAGTGTTAACTGTCGTCTTTTTTGGAGAAAATGTGATATTGTAATTAATGAACACATCTATATAAACAGTCTTGAATGATCTTTTTGTACATTTCATTAAAAAAATAAAACAGTATTGTTGTTGTGAGCCAGAATAAAAGTTGCAAATAGGAGTTACAGATTAAATGAGATGGTAGTGGTAAGAAAAAAGACAAAGTATAGGACTGGGCACAATATACACCTGAACAGGGCAACTATGACATGCAGCATTCTTCTTCTGTTTCCCTGTGTTCATTTTGACACATCTATCATGCTCAATCAGTTTCAAGACCTGAATACTACAATTTTCATATTAGCAAAAATGTGTCAAAATACCTAGGCAACACAATAGTTGTTATTTAGAATCTGTAGAAAAATATGTTGCTTGTTCTATAGTTGTTATGATGAATTATATTTATTAACTATTTTAATTAAGAACCTTGAGGAATGAAAGCTATATTGTTAAAATCCTGCACTAGACATTTATTGCATTTAATATAATGTTACTATACATATTATCGTGAAAAAGTATTTTCCTGACTTCCTCTATTAATGCATATTTGTTACACTGGATGTTTTCAGAACTTTAGACAAAGTCTAGTATTAGATAATGGGAACCTGAGTGAACAAATATCACTTTATTATTATTATTATTTCATTTATTTAATAAACAAAGTTATCCAACACCCATATCCCCTGTGTGAAAAAGTGATAACTGGTTGCGCTACCTTTAGCTGCAATGACTGCAACCAAATGCTTCCTATAATTCTTTTACATTGCTAGATTTGGCATTGGTAGGTTTTCAAGCATGAACTGCTCGTTTCAGGTCCTGCCACAGTATCTCTATTGGGCTTAGGTCTGGACTTTGACTAGGCCACTCCATAACTTAAATTCTGCTTCTTTTCAGCCATTCTGATGTGGACTTGCTTTTGTGTTTTGGATCACTGTCTTCCTGCATTACCCAACTACTCTTCAGCTTCAGCTCACGGATGGATGACTGGACATTCTCCTCAAGAATTCTATGATACAGGGAAGAATTCATGGCTCCTTTAATTATGGCAAGTCGTCCAGGTCCTGTAGCAGCAAAGCATCCCCACACCATCACACTACCACCACCATGTTTGACTGTTTTTATGATGTTCATACTGTGCAATGCAGTGTTTGCTTTATGCCAGACATAATGGGACCCATGTCATCCAAAAAGTTTCACTTTTGACTCATCTGTCAATAGAATATTTTCCCAAAAGTCTTGGGAATCATCCAGGTGCTACTTGACAAATGAGATGAGCATTTATGTTCTTCCTGCTACTTTCTCATGAAGCCCATTTTTGCCCAGTCTCTTTCTGATTGTGGAGTCATGAACACTGACCTTAAGTGAGGCAAGAGAAGCCTGCAGTTCTTTGGATGTTTTTTTAGGATCCTTTGTGACTTCCTGGATGATCTGACGCTGTGCCCTTGGATAAATTTTGGCAGGCCGACCACTCCTGGGAAGATTCACTACTGTTTTAAGTGTTCTCCATTGGAGATTATGTCTCTCACTGTGGTTCAGTGGAGTTCCAGAGCCAAAATTGCTTTGTAACATTTTCGAGACTGATAGATATCATCAACTTTTCTTCTGATCACTTTACTTTGATAGTGGCAGAATGTGCCTGTTGAATCTTTGTGCTGGCAACTTGACTCTGATGGCAAGGGTCAAAATAAGTGAGGTTCATATTGGGCAGGGCTGGCTGTATTCAGTCAGCTGAATCTAAATTATCCTTTTAATTGGGTTGATTTAACTAGGGGGCAATTTCTTTTTTACACAGTGCCAGTTGGTGTTGGATAACTTTGTTCATTAAATAAATTAAATATGCAAAAAAATGTGTTATTTGTTCACTCAGGTTCCTTTTTATCTAATATTAGATTTTGGTTGAAGACCTGAAAACATTCAGTGTAAGAACTTTGCCATAATAGAGGAAATCAACAAATACTTTTTCACCCCACTATATATATAATCACTGTAAATATATAATTTATGTTGCAACATCACTACAACAGGGTATTGAAAAGGACATTCTAGCTATTATTCTCAAATCTGTATATTTGATTACACATTAGAGAACTTTACTATAACATAATCAGTGTTTCTGGAGATTTTCTATTTTGTAATTCATTGTTAGTCAAGGCTGTTAATTAACAATAACAACACAGATACTATTAATACTTATAATTATGTGTTTTGGGTTCTTGTTAAACAGTATGGAGTTCAATGTTTAAGACGATTTTAACCAGAAAATCCTGTTTGACAATGGATTTCCCAGGAAGATTAAAATCCAAGAAGGGAACTCAGAAGACCCCGTAAACATAAGTAGCACCCTCTCAAGATTAGCTAAACATCTTGGGATGTGAATAAATCTGATCATGTTTTATTTAGAAATATTTGTCATTAAGATTGATAAATGTGACAGGTGCACTATCAAAATGAAATGCACAACACAATATATATTTGTTTTGTCAAAAATAATTAATGTATACAGCACTTACATTTTCTTTGTAAATCAACTTTATCAAGAATATATTTGGAGGAAAATATATACAGTATACAGTATATGCATTGTATATATTTTCCATGTTGCATTTGAAAAATGGTATGTTCCATTGGTGAAGTCTGTCTGGAACACATCTGTCTTGGAAATACAGCCTTCAGCAATTCAGAAGACAACATATTATTTCTGCTCTAATTTTTAGTGCTTGAGAGAGTACCATTCCATAATAATTCTTTGGAAAAAAAAAAGCTAATGCAAAGCAGAACAGGTGATGAAGCATTTTAGTGATCTGTCTCAGTAACATTGTGATGACTGTATTTTCAAGAAAAATGCTTAACGACTCACGAAAACCAAAAGGTATTTCATAATATTTTTTCAGTTGAATGGTCAAAAGATTTTTACAAAGTATGGAAGCATTTCCACATAAGATATGATGTACCCATTTGTATGTAAAAGTAATGGCAACTTGTTGCTCTCTCATGTTGACTTTTTTATTTAACCAGTGTGAATCACAGTGTGAGGAGTGAAGGTTATCTTTATTTTCTCTATGGAGCACAGTGTTAAAAGCAAGCCATCTCTACAGTGTCACTCACCCAGTATTTACACTTTGAATCCCCTCCTTTACATCAGTGAAGTTGTTTTTCCTTTCTATTCCATTAGTTTTACTGAAAACCAGATATGTGGCACTGCGGCAAGGATCTGCCTCTAGCATGCAAGCTTATAAAAAACAAAACAAAATAGACGGATGTAATTTTTGTAGGCTTCATCTGATTTCTGATAAAACTTTACACCAGTTAACTGAAAATATATTCCTGTAACATATCTCATGAAAACTAAGAAAACTTCTATACAATTATTCAGTTAACTGGTTATTCAGTTGTTTCCATTTTAAAATACATTAAGTAATGCAGCAAAATGTCTAATTTTTTGTTAACACAAGAATTAGCATTCAATTCTGTGTTTACAATGTATTAAACATTGTAGCAGTTTTTTCCACATATTTAAAAAAAAAAAACATGAATTAGGAAATCTGCATTGCAGGACAAGTGCTAATGCAAATCTTATTGTACTGGATAAAAATTTATACTGATTCAAGTTTCATTGCTGCATTTCTTTTTGCAGTTTCTCAGTGACCTCAGAAGTAATTTGAATATCTTCCTTTCTGCATCTATATGGCAGAAAGCTGACCTGTGTGGGAAGTTATCATTTCATGTTTGAGGTGGAGGGTTTCTGTATACAAATAAACTTGGATGAATCCAAAAATAATTGCTCGGCAACCTGAAATATGTTTTAGAATTTTCAATAAATCCGTTAATATTTGACTGCTTGCTATCTTTGATTTTTATGGTTACATGATTTTACAATTTTTCAATATTAGTGAGTAAGTTCTTTAAGCGGGTCTCTAGGAACTGAATCTTCAGAATTCAAGAAAGATTACTTGTAATCTGAAAAGGAGGTTATGTCCTAAGGCACTTTGTAACAGTCTATAATTAGGTTTATATCTTTTCATTTTTTATCTGATAAATATTAACACAAGTACTAAGCTACTAAACACAATTGTAATTGCCATTTAAAGGGCATTATGGTTATTGCTTAACCTAGTGTCACATTCTAAAGTGAGCAGCTTGACTTGTCTAAGCATTCTGGCCCACAATACTACATTTATTAACCTTGCCACATGTTTCTGCTGTTTAACATTTTTACAGTATATTGTTGAGGAGATGGAGTGCTCTTGATGTTTGGTTTTATGCTGAAGAATCATTAGATCAGATCCAATGCTTACATATACTTTCAAAACTATTTTGCTTTCCATACATTCAATTGCAGTTCTACTGCTTTCCTCCTTTAATACAGATGTTCAAGTTCAGACACACCTTTGTGTGATAAATCATGGTTTGGTAAATTTATAGTAGAAATAAACATTAAAATGGAGTAAATACAATTTTGTGAGCAGAAACCTTTTTTTTTGTAAATCATACCCATCAACTGAAACTCTTATTTTAATGCTAGATTTATGACAGTGCAGAAGTGTGAGTTGTAAATTTAACTGAAGTTTGATAGTCTGAGAGTTCTAGCAGGCTTTACAATTTTACTCATGTGACGTAATGCAGATTAGTCCATGTCTGTTTGCAGATTACCCAAATTGCTTTACCCTGCTATTGTTGTATTATCAGTGGTATCATCATTAAGTGGTATCACTTACATAAATCTTTTAATCTGTAATATTAATCAGTGCTGTGGCATCCATAATTTATGGTGAAGGTAAATAAATGCAATCTAGTGTTTCACACAATCAAAATGTTAATTATTTTGTTATTGTTGATACCAAAATGTCCTGGTAAGATTATTTATGATGTTAATGGCTGCAGACGTAAGAAGAAAAAGTAGCATTAAACATTTTGACAGTCCCCAGGCAAGTATACATAATCCCCATTTTATCTATAGCTTTGCTAACCATCCTCATATAGTGTATCTAAACTTAAATACACTTGCAGCATGAAAATATTTTACCATATAGTACCTGATAACTAACAGTATTAAGATTAAAATATCTCATACTTAAAATGACTATAATAGTTAAATTGGATTAAACTAGTTCACTGAAAAAATACATAAGTTATGTTAAAAGCGATTTTGGAATAACTTACCATGAAGTATTAAACTTTTCGTGATGTAATGAATACTAAGAACATACATACATATACATAAATCATGCAACACAAGCTTTAGAGACAGAAACGTGTAGCAAAATATCAACAGGTAAAGGCAGGTATATCTGGTTCCCAATGGAAAGAAAACAAATCTTTTCATTTCTTGCCAAATAGGCTGTGAGATATGTTTAACTAAATGCTAAATATACATAATCAATAAGGTATTTCAAGACCCTACTGCACTGATTGCAATAATGAAGGTCATATGTAGCCTAAACCCTCCACTGAAACCCATGATATACCATATAATAAGCCTAAATGAGAAGCAGCTGCATGAGTTTTGGAATCAGAGCCCATATTAGCCAAATCAACTACAACTATCAACATTATTAAGAAAAAGTCTAGCACACCTTGTGTGTTGTACATGCTCACAGAAGGGTTGTTATAGACCGCCGATTCCCCAAGCAATGTGTTATAAGGATTGTTAGTGCCATGAGGACGGAGAAGAGCATTAGTTATAAGATGGTTAGCCATGGCTCCTGGAGCAGCCAGATAAAGACAAAGAAAGAAAAAGAGTCAATCAGGCAAATGCGGTTAAAGAAAAGAATTTAAAATGACAAGTCATATTCTTTCTTTTCTTCGGGTATAGCAGCAGCAAGCTTGATCGATTGACAATAGACTAATACATGACTACAGTCTATATAGACTATATGGACAAAAGCAGAACAATTTCAATGACTTTTTAGAAAAAAGCACAAAAACAGTAGAGATGCTTTCCTCAAAGCCTTCACATTTAGACATGTAACAAATGCTGGCTGAATGCAACAGTGTACAGACCACGCATAGGCATAATAGACCAATGACACACAACAGTAGGCAAACCTACACCTTTTCTGTGAATGATATCTGGGAAATTTAAAAAAAGTTTTTTAATAAGTTACATTCAAACCTTCCTACAAACCAGAGTTTATTTTCTATTCTCATATATTGTCTCCCCATGCTTTCAAATAGTCATTTCACCTGAATGAACCAAAAAGCAAACAATTCTGAAGGAGCAACAGTAGAGCTGGCTGTTAACGTGACCCTTATAACTGAGCTGTTTCTCAAACAGATCATTGACTAGCAGCAAGCGAAGAAAAGCTTTCAAATTTCAAACTCACTGTTTACTGCAAAATACTGTATATGTATATGAGTCATTGCAGAAGTGCTAGTTTTTGTGTGTTTATTGCTGTTTTTTTGTATCCATGCAAGTAAAATGAAGTTTTACAATCCAGTTTATATACAGTAACACCAGGCCCTGTTGTCAGCCCTGTTGTCACTTCTGTTAAAGCATGCAAATAATTTGTATGTGGATTAGTAACAAGGAACATTAGAGCCCAACTCAAGCTAGCTTCTAGACAACCTGACAAGACAGCTTGCTGCCAGGCATATCTGCATCTTTTTTATTTATATAAAATCCTGTTCTAGAATGTAAAAAAAAAATCATACCAAAACTCATATTTATTGAGTGGGTAGGTGATGATTTATCTGTAAAGCACTGAAAGCTTTAGAAATGTTTGTGAAAATTCTGTTTAAAAATATGCTAGACATTACCACTATAACCAGTAATTTATAAATGTCTCTTAAATGGGTGGAAATATTTTCAATGACTCTTCAGAATCAATTAACCTTCTTTAAAGACTTCTAAATGTGCACTCTAGTATACAGAATGTATGTTCATTTATTTAATCCCTTGTATATTTATTTCTGTCATACTATTTACATTGCTTATACTGTTCATAATACTATGTAAATTTTTATAACATAGTTGTCAGTGATTGAGCTTTACACATTATGTATTGGTAACAAGCATGTATGACTATCAGTGTTGGGGAAAGTTACTTTTGAAATGTAATACTGTACATTACTATTACAAAGTGTTTTTGTAAGGGTAAGTAAGTTAAGTTAAGAAGACATTCCAGAAAAAATCATTTGAAAACTTTATTTGTGGTGATTTATATATTATGGATACTATAAGAGATTATAAACTAGAATACACTCCTTAAAGGCAATTTCTCTGGACTGCTAATTATTTGGTGTTCAGATTCTGTGAAGCAAACATGTCCTTAAACAACGGTGAATGTATATGACTGTACTGAAGGTAAACAGTGCCTTTTATACTTGAAATATAAAATAATTAAGTTATTTTGGAAAGGACGTCATTAGATAAAATGAAATGTTTTTGTTTTCAATATAAAATATTCTGTGAAAATGATTATATAATAGCACAATCTAATTAAAATTAATCATTTAATAATTAATAATTAAATTAATAGAGCTAATCTTTGGAAAAATAATATACAGTATATATTTTATAATACTTGGTAGTTTGGCAATAACATATAACATATGTTATGAAACTCCTTAAGGATTTGCTCATTAAATTAAAATTATTTTTAAAAAATTGTATTTAAATAGGATGTTGAACATTCCTGAATAGGGATTAAGTGGCAATTTAATGTGTGGGAATAACATTAGAAGAATACAACATTTTTAAGTTTAATTACACTCAGGGTCATAATGTGCAACAAAAACATGAATATTAATTTTTATTTTATTTTAATCAACAGTAATTTTGCATGGTCCTGAATATAGTCTTGCATTAAAAATTAGGTTGTTACATATGTTCCTTGCAGATTACAGGCCACATTCACAGAAACATATTTTTATTGCTAAGGTACAGCTTATTGCAGAAGAACCTTTTGGAAACGAGGCTCCGAGTCTTGCACTCATCATTTATTGTAAATTCTCAATATTCCCATTTTAAATGTATTATTTTTCCTACTCTGTGTTTAATCTAAAAGGCTTTTTTAGAGGACTTTGAAAACATAAACATGTTTAGGACAAAAAATGCTCAGAATAAAAAAATAACATTCATAAGAATTACTGTTAATTGAATAACTAATTCCATCTAGTTAATGCTTTGATTTGTTTAATTTTATTGTAATTTAAAATTGGCAGAACCTTTCTAGCATTTTCTGTCTAACAAAACTATTGTGTGTGGATAATAAGGCCACAGTGCCTGACAGAGGAATTACTACCGATTTAAGGAGTGGTACATCTCTGACAACTGCAAGTCTCTGAAATCACCCTGCATTCTATTGAGACAATCTAGATCCAATTCTGATTTGTTTCATTTGTCAGGTGTGAAAATTGCAAATACCGTATATATTCAAGTGACTGTCATCATAATAATTGTTGTCTATTACAGTAGTTGTGTATCCACTTTTACATTGATATTTTACTTTGCCGTGATTTCTTCTAGATGATTGTAATCTTTGCAAAATATTCTATCCTATTTCCAAAAGATGTATTTTTTGTGTGCAATATGTACAGACTATGTATGACATACAGAAATAGGGAAATTAGTCATTCTTTAACGGGAATAAGATACACCACTTAATGTGAGTAGGAAACCACAAATTTCCATAGTTGGCAGCCTAATTTTAGTCTCTTATAAATCTCAAATCATTGTTCAAATGTTTGCTTTAAGATAGATTTCTCAAAAAATGCTAAATCTTCAATACCAGAACGTGGTTTCAATACAAATGCACATTCATAATTAATCTCAGAATATTCAAAAGGATAAATAAAAACGGATGTGGATAAAAGGTGCATAGTCTCCCGAAAGGTTTTGGAATCACCATAAAATGTTAGAAGCCCACATTTTAAACATTTCACATTTTATCTACCAGTCAGTACAGATACTGTACTACTAGAAAGACATTTAAATTAAGCTTAAAATACATTATACTGTATTTAGTCTCACTACATTAATACTATTTATATAAGTTTTCAATTCATATATATATATTTGAATGTGTATCTTGAATAATTTATCGATGTTAAAAATACTGAGAACAAAATATGTTAATTCACAAACTATTTCAGTTTGGCTATGATGTCATTAACATACTTTTCAAAGTGTCATAATGTGCAATCTGAACAAGATCATTTGGTACTTTAATTTTCAATGCTACATGATTGGTTATATCAAGTTTAGGTTATGGTTGAGAGCATTACAGTAAAACACACGTGGCTCACAAATCTTATTACACACTATTTTCTTACTGTAGTTATAACAGATAACTTTGGATTGCTTGACTAAGTGCATAATTATTAAGATCTTGACACTTACTTTCTCAGTATAACATCAATCCATCATTATAACAGCTTATTAGTGTCTAAGTGAATCTCAGCTCCTAGCAGATTTAGAGAGAGTGGAGTGTAGGGCACAACCTTCTATCAAGGGACTTGCATCTTCATTAAAGATCTCATGTAAAATGGAAGGCATTCGCTTATAGATAATCAAATATAAAATGAGCAGGGCTTTATTTTTACTAGCATTTTAATTTTAATATCTCCAATCATGCAAGTTTGTCTTTTATTCTTAGTGACTTTATTATTAAAGATATTCTTGTAACTTACAATTACTACCAATATTTACAGATAGAATTTTACTTTTTCATTGAGTCTGCTTTCAAGAACAATACTGCTAATTCTCCTGACAGGCAGGTAGATGGTGAGTTTTATTACCACAATAAGAAACAGAAACTATAAATACTCGAAAAATAATAAGCACACACAGGAAGTGTGCCTTAGTATGATATCTTGTACAATCATTCAAATTTAATTCATCATTAAAAGAAAACCCAATTAATTAAAACATGCAGAAGTCACACTGAATGATGGCCACACTGTACTTGAGCCAATTTATAACTCTAAAATTACATAAAAGTAATATTAGAACTTTTAAGATTACCTCAGGTGTATTACAGTCTTACCTTCTCTGACTGAAAATATGTTCGCCTAAGCTACTAACCTACCGGGTAAGAGTGATAGCTTAACATTTCTATCAAGGCCAGTTTGGCTGACTAAATCTTACCACATGCAGTTATAAAAAATTATGAAGGAAAAAAACTTTGTGCTTTGTATGTTTTCACAAATGCAGCATTTTATGATAATTGGTGCAAGGGAATAAAATCACACTTCATATTGTGACAGTTATGTCTTAAATTTGTGTGGTTGTGTTTTAAGGTAATAACCTGTGGTGCTCTAAAATGAAAATAATGTAATAGTGCTTGGTTTATCCATGTGCAGTTGAATTTAAAGTAATACTGCATCCTTGACCTTTTCTATTTTCATACATGCCTGTCTCTGTTAAAATTACGTCTGTTGTTCCATGTAATCATATTTTTGCCAAAGGCCACTGCTGCAAAAGTCTCATAAGAAGGGCTTAACTTATTATAGATAAAATGAACAAAGTGTTAGGAGATGCTATCATTTTACCTTCTGGTATGCTTGGGTATGGAAAATGCCCTTCTGTTTGCAGAACGTCATGGAAAAGTAAAAACAAAAATCCATACAGTTAACAATAGAGCAACATTTTTTTCATTTCTAGATTTAAATGGGCATTTGGATCACTTCTGCAAATGCCACAGTATATTTCCAGATATCTTGCAGTAAATCAGTGCTATAATACGTGACCAAAATCTTCTGAAAGAATGACCTCTATTCTTATTTCTGAAATGCATTCATTCTTTTTCACTTGCTATCATTTTCAGTTTTAACAGTTTTTCAAAATCTTTTTAACATGCATTGCTTTGTATACTTTTTATAAGGAATATCTGAATGCCACTTGCTGCCATCAGTAAACAGAAACCTACTGGTGCTGGAATGAGCTTTTAGAAGGTGGACTTTAAGGGACAATGCTTTAAATCCTCATTAAATAGTAGAAAGGAGAAACATGATTTTTTCATTGATAGCCTGAGAGGGAGAAAGTTGCATTGATTAATTCCATTATTACCTCTGTTCAGTGATGCTGAGCTGTTTATGTCGCCTGTAATAAAGGAAGACTCAGACTGCTTTCTGACGGTATCATTCCACATCCTGCGGATTCGGCTCTAGAAAACATAAATATAGCATAATCGGGTTAATAAACATTTAATGCTGTACCGATTTGTAACGTTTGTGTTACACAACAAAAAGTAAAACAGATTAGATTATTGATGTGATTATTGATGTTGCTGTATGAAACCAAATAAAAATGTGTTAGCATCTCCCTTGATTCCCCCTTCCCCTCTTCCCCCACCTTGAGGACCCTACCGGTCCTGCCCAGCTCTTGTTACAGTATATATTTTCAGTACTAGTTATAACATGAAGGGACAAAGACAAAAGACAAATATTTATAATTCATTTGGATTTAGTGAGTTGCATTTACTAACAATTACTAATTTTTTTAAATCATTTTAAAGGGTATATTTATAACAGGACAAGGATTGCATCCCTCACCAAGTACAGCATGTAGTTTTTAATTTGGACCATGAGCTGAATATTTGGACAAAAATAAACTACATTACCCAATGTTCCACACATTAAAGAATTATGTGAAGTGATATCCACAGTTATCCATACAGTACATCAGCTACAGTATATACAGTAATACTGTTCTTGCAGACTGCCTTTATTTAGATGTCATTGTTAATACCACTGTTCTGCAAGTGATCATTAAACTAATAATAAATAATAAAATGTTTGGAGCGGTGCATATCTCAACATTATAGCAAATTGAAGTATTACACATTTAAATATATTGATATAATTATAGTGCAGTCTTCACCAAAGTGAACACTTGTATCAGCTACAATTCAACTTACAGTATAAAAAAACAACATTCAAATCAACACTCGAAGCTTTTAATCTGATCTCTTTTTTTTTTACGTTTACTTGCTTTTAAATAAGATATGATTTTAAACCATTGTATAATATATATATGATAATTAAAATCTAAAATAAAAATACGTTTTCTAATTACCATTTAAACACAATTACTAATAATTCTATATACTGTATGGAATTTAAATATATATATAATTCATAAAGCGTTATACAGTATTGTGACATATCTAATTTGGAGTTGTGGTAGCAACATGGCAACAATATCGTGTCTCGACAATGTTATTATTGTTATCATGTTATCATTGTATTTAATGAAATGTCTTTGTCTATAATATGTCTACAGTATGATTAGCACAGAAAAGAACAAATGGGTTAATAAACATTTGACACTGTACCGATTTTTTCTGATAACCAAACGCAGCAGCTGTACTTTAAGGATTCACTGCATTACTTGGCAGTTTTGTATAGTACAGTCCTGCATCAAATTCTCTGAACCTAATTCACTAGAAGGCAATGGGGAATGACCTGCCTTCCCCAAACATCTGACCAATTGGTAGAAGACAATTAGTTAAGTTATATTTAAAATCCGGAATCTGAGGGTTCCAAGGAGCTGTCAAACCAGTGAGCAGGGTCCATAAATGGTTCTATCCTGGAAACAAAAATCTATTTTGATGGATTTATTAAGTATGAATTCAAAGGAATAACTGAAATGGCTACAGCACATCTGAATCTGACCATGAGGATGTGGAGATGCAAGTTAACATCAGAAAACAAACAAAGTTTAGTCAGTTTCCAGGACAAGTTCCCTGGAAATTTGGTGGAAGAGAGTGTTGAGGCTCCAGTGGGTTGCTATGTCCTGTTTGCTTTCCAAGAGTCTCTAAAGCTGAGGAAGTAGGTTAATGTCCTAGGTGCTGATGTCCCTAATGTGGACTCTAAACTCAAGAAAGCAAAGCTTATGGTGAAAAATTCTCCAGTGGAAAAAAGGAAGGGTCAAATGGAGAAGTGGCAAAGGAGTATCCAGCTGAAGGATAAATTGAGCTCACCGATTCACAGTATCACATGTGCTCAAGCTGCCAGGACCACACAACTAAGTCACAGCACAGGCATAACGAACAGTTGGGTGTTGTGAAAGAAAACATTCCTTTAGGTGTCTACTACTGGAATGCCAAACATAAAGAAACTTGGCAATGTGCAAAACTGGAAAACCTGTTATGAATTGAAGGTGAAAAGTACAGTTCTGATGGCTAGTGAACAAGATGGTTGGAGTCCACGATGGCCACCTGTGACACACAGATCAGCCAGCTGCTTTTAACCAATCTGAAAGTGAACGCACATCTTAAAAGCAATTAAATAAACTAAGCATTAAGCTAACAAATTATCAGATTTTAACCTCCAGGCCAATAAGAAGGCCCAAGATCCAGTCCAGAGTTTCCAGCACAGAGGCCACCAGGAGGATTGATATGCACAGGAGTAGTGTCTTCTGGCCCAGCTCGGCTGCAGAGAAAACATCATTCTAAAAAGAAGATCCATTCTACAGAGTCCCAGTCAAAATAAATTGAAAAGGAGAGACAGATTCTTCAACTAAAAGAAGAAAATGAAGAACAAAAGATAAAAAACCATGACCTTCTGGGAAGAGCTTGGGAACCAAGGTCTGCTGAAGGTCTGCTGTATGCTTAAAAATGTGCATGGAGAAACTAAATACTGCTCACACTGTATAGAATGTTGCAGAACAGCAGCTGACGCAGTTGCCGACTAAAACAAGGGAGGCTTTTCAGATGGTTTTCCCTCAGATTACTCTTGACACAGAACAGCAGAACTGTCTGCAGGAATTCAAATAAGAAGCATGGCACAACCTCAGCTAGACCACCCCAGAAGCATGGGATTTGGATATGGCATAGGAGTCTCAGAGCATAATACAGGCAAAGTGACCTAAGTGACCTATTAATCCTTCATTGAGAACAAATCTGTAAAGTTTCAGGACTTACATTTCCCAATTTGCATAAGACTGATGATAAGTATACTCATGGTGTATTCTAACTCAACTATCCTCCTTTTAGTAGGAAATGTATAAAAAAGTACATTTAGCCTGTTATGGTGAATTGAACACCCCTTTAGCACTCTTGCTTGATATTCACACTCCAAACCAAACCAAATTTATGAATACTTAATAAAAATAAATATATAGCTTGTGATTAATTAGTCTATATCACTGCCTGTAATATATGTGCAGAGGACATGTCAAAGGTTTATGAGCAGAGTTGTGAATTAAGAAGAATACTGTGTGAGAGTGACCCTGAACATGCATCTGAAGTAACAGACACTGCACAGAGAACAAGGAGAAACAGAAAGCCCCCCCCCAAAAAAGGGAATAATTAATCTACATATTGAATAAATCTTTATACTCCGTCACAAACACCCATTTACATAAATTAACATAACAGAATGTGATCTGCTATGAGTTATTGCCATGTCTCAGGTGCCCTGTCCAACACTACGAGTGTAGGGCTACAGTGTAGAACACTACAAAATTAGGACTTGTTCCAACATTTTGTCTGTTCCTCACAACACCTTCTAAATATGCTAGAACTCTAATACTGGGAACTGGGAGTCTTATAACAGATAAAATAGTTTTTTGATGCACAAGGCTGATTTTTTTTCTCTTTTTTGTTCTTATAAGTTCCCACCATTGTATAACTCTTTAAAAGGCCAAATGTGGATTATTTATTTATTTGGCAAGAAATTAGTTACTCTGGACTTAAAGGTTCAAATTAAATTTGCTTGAATTGAAGATAAAAATAATATTCAGAAATGCAGCATGTTGGTTGTTGAGAAAAAATCCACAAGAAGAGACATTTTGCTTTTTAATGTTGTTCAGAAATAAAATGTAAATATAAATATAAGTTAAGGTGCCTACATAAAAAATTAAGTAATTTCTTTCTGGGCTGCTGCTGGTATTTGAACTATATCATCTTTCAAATCAAGATGCTGGTCCTTCTGACTGCAGATCAGCTTCTACATAAATGTCATTACTTAATTTGCATTTCTTTGCGTTGCCACATTTATGTATGTAGATCACTTCTTTGCTTTTTGCTATAATCTTGCAAGTATTTTTTTATTTATTTCCACTGTGTGATGGTTTGAATAGTAGCGATGGTAAAAGGAAGGTGCAATAATTTCATGTAACTGAATATGGCAAAGAAATGTCTCTCCTTGAGGCTGTGGTGAAACCTACAGATTGTATAGCCCATCAGCTATTCTATTACAGCAGAGTATCCCTACAGTCTTCAAGGTGCATTATGGGAAATGCAAAATAAGGTGAATATCTGAATCAAAATAATGGCTTGATACAGTTACAATACAATACAGCATACCACATGGGAAAAAGCCGTTGACAGCATGCAACCACCTATTTTTTAAGGTTATGCAGTTTACATTAACAAGAGCTCTTCCCCAGAGCTTTCATAAAAGAGATAAAAGAGAATTGGTGGCCTCACTACCTTTCCTTTCATTATATATCAATGTGCTCTGAGTATATCAAACCCACCCCTAACAACTTTGTAGAAGCTCATTTGATTCAAAACATATCATTTTGACCAGAAGAACAGTGCACATACTGTGAATTTTAAAATGCTAGTCACACAAAAAACCCAGACAAATGCACAGGTCTCTGATCACAATTTGTTGTGTGTGGGTTACAAGTTACTAGTCTGTTACTATAAACAATGCGCATGGTAAAATGTCTACTATGGATTAATGAACACAGCAATCTAAGATGCATGTGAATGTTAAAAACATTGAATATAGACAACTCAGTTCACATAGTTGAGAAGAGAGTGGTTGGAAGGTGAGATCCAAATCTCACACACTTCCTATGCCTATATGTATACATCTTCCCTTTGTGTATCTCTCATATCCTCATGTAACAAAAGATAACTGACAATTTGAACTACAAACAGTTGGTTTAGTCGGAATTGGTATAACACTCCCTTCAATCCAGGAATATGTCTGGTTACTCTCCTTTGTAAATCCTCTAAGGCATCAATAACTTTTGAAGCATATTGTCTAAATTAGTGTATTCTAAGTGGTCGAACTTAAACATGCTCCAATTTAAATGTGAAATCCCACAATGTTAATACTCCACTCTGGAAGATATATCCAAATGTTTTATTCACCTATTATCACCTGTTTATCTTTCCTGTTTACTTAAACTGAAGTAAGCAAATAT